TTCTGAAAAAAGAGATTATATGTCGGTATGGTCTACCTGAAAGAATCATTACCGATAATGCTACAAACTTGAACAATAGGATGATAAATGCTGCTTGTGAACAGTTCAACATAAAACATCACAATTCCACTGATTACAAACCAAAGATGAACGGAGCAGTAGAAGCAACAAACAAAAACATTAAGAAGATAGTGGAGAAAACGACTGAAACTTACAAAGACTGGCATGATAAGTTGTCTTTTTCTTTGTTCGCTTATCGAACCTCGGTACGAACCTCGACTGGGGCAACTCCATTTTCACTAGCTTATGGAATGGAAGTAGTGCTACCCATTGAAGTAAAGATTTCGTCACTCCGGGTCCTGACAGAGGTCAAACTGGATGATATAGAATGGGTACAATCCAGATATGATCAGCTTAATCTGATAGATGAAAAGAGACTGAAAGCCATTCATCATGGTCAAATCTATCAGAAACGAATGATCCGAGCACATGACAAAAAGGTACACCCGAGAATATTATGCGAAAGAGATCTGGTACTAAAAATAATTTGGCCAGTCCAGAAAGATTTTCGAGGAAAATGGACGCCAAATTAAGAAGGACCTTATGTCGTGAAAAAGGCCTTCCCCGGAGGAGCCCTTGTCCTGGCTGAAATAGACAGACCTGAACTACCATATCCCATCAACTCAGATGCAGTCAAAAAGTACTTCGCTTAGGATGAAAACCCGAAAGGGCATCTTAAGTCGAAAAAGGGAAAAAGGAAAAAGAAAAAAATAAAAAGAGAAAAAAACGTTTAGGATGAAAACCCGAAAGGGCACCCTAAATTGAAAAAAGGAAAAAAGAGAAAAAGAACAAAAAAGAAAAAGAAAAATAAGGTGGGTTCAAGATGAAAACCCACAAAGGGCGTCTTGCAACCAAGGATGGGTCCAAGTTGAAAACCCAAAAAGGGCGATTTGGATATTAACAGTGGAAAGATCCCGACATCTTAATCTCCTACAAACTCAACAAGTCGGAGAAAGGTTGCACTCTCCATAATGTTTTCGCATTTTCAAATATCCCTTGGCAAAGGCTGTGTTCAAAGTCACCTGACGATTTTTCAGCTCAGAAGTGCCCACATTATCGAGATCTCATACTTCATCATGTATTCATTTTCCAAAATGTTTGTCATGTATTATTTGTTTTTTATCATGAATAAAAGACAATCTTTTTCTCTAAACCAATTCCTTTTGAGCATCTTGGATTGAGCTTAAACTTAATGATCTATTTACTTATGCAAAAGATAATCGCATATTACTGTACAAAGATTCATTAAAAAGTACAGGTACCCGGAAGCCAATCAAGGCTCATGCATATACTTGAGATGGTCGAGAAGTATTTCCCAGATCAAGGATCAAAAAAGCAAAATATGCACATCACATTTTAACATTTGAAGAATTCAAGACCAAGGATCGGAACTTCAAGATTCCAGAATCAAGATTCCAAACAGGCAACCGGAGATTGAGATTTCTCTCCAGAGCACCAAGATAACATATGTTGCATATGCATTTTAGGCACACCTAAGAGCATTGCATTCATAGCATCACATATATGCATAACTTTTTCAAGTTTCAGCTAGAGTCAATTTCAACTTCGTAGCGAAGGATATTGAACTTGAAGCGACACAATTTGCTCGAGAGTAGATTTCAACTTCACGACGGAGATATCTAACTCGAAGCCAAACTGCACAATAAAGGGGTCATCCACAATTTCAACTTCACGACGAAGGGAATCGTGTCCACCCGCAACATATAATACTTGGATTTCAACTTCACGATGAAGGATATTCAAGTCAAGGCTCAACTTCACGATGAAGGGGCCATTCGCGATTTCAACTCCACGACGGAGGATATCGTACCCATACATCCATAAATTTAACTCCACGACGGAGGATATCGTGCCATTTGAGGCTCAACTTCACGACGAAGGGGCTTCTCAATTTCAGAGCCAATTTCAACTTCACAACGAATGATATTGGACTCAAGACAACACAAGCTCAACTTCACGATGAAGGGGCGGTTGATTGTCAACCAACAACTTTTCAGTTTCATTCAGAGTCAATTTCAACTTCACAGCAAAGGATATTAGACTCGAGACAGCACAAGCTCAACTTCACAGCGAAGGGGCGGCTGACTATCAACAAACAATTTCCCAGTTCTAGAACCAATTTCAACTTCACGACGGAGGATATTGGACTCGGAGTAATACAACTTACTTGGATTTCAACTTCACGACGAATGATATCCAATTACCAGGCTCAACTTCACGGCGAAAGGGCCACCCGCGGTTTCAAATTCACGACGAAGGGAATCGTGCACACAAGCAGCATCCATCTCTAGATTGGATTTCAACTTCACGACGAAGGATATTCAACTCAAAGAATGAGTGTCTGTCAATAAACGTTCTAGTTTCAGAGTCAATTTCAACTTCACGACGAAGGATATTGGCCTCGAAACAACGCAACTTACATTGGATTTTCAACTTCACGACGAAGGATATCCGATTCCCAGGCTCAACTTCGCTACGAAGGGGCCATATACATATACAACTTCACAACGAAGGGTACCATACCCTAACAGAATGACCCAAGTTCACAACGAAGGAGACATCTGTAATATAGCGACACCAAAGTCTTCAGGTCAAGTTTCACCTTCATGACGAAGTATCTTGAGCCAGAAGATGATCTAGAAGTCACTTTCTAATATTCTGAGTTCGATTTCAACTTCACGACGAAGGATATCGTGCTCAAAATGGTTCAGTTTAGACTCAACCTCACGACGAGAGGGTCATTTCGCAATTCAATCCAAATTGACAAACCAGTCTTAATATCGGATTTCAACTCCACAACGAAAGATATTCGATATGACCGAAATTCGTGTCTTTTAATCTTTGCTCTATTGTCGCTACACGATAATGAGCAAGCGACAATAGAGGAAAGAGGGGTAGCTAAAGACACTTAATTTCGTCCATACAATTTTACTACGTTATATAATAAATTATGTTATATAATATAGGTATTTGTATTAATTAATTTTGTTTTTCTCCTCAAAATGTTACAGGTCCAAAGTTAAATTTGAGGCCCAAATCTCGTGACCCATTACACGCAGGCTGTCCATGTGACCCAAGTGGCCCAGACTCAACACACAACCCTCATCAGATTAAGGTTTCTAGAAACCCTAAGTACACCACAAGCCTTCCCCATCAAAGACCCCATTTGCTTCATGCCTCGCAACATCACCGAATTTCTCGGCCATCATCAACGACGTGCATATGTGAAACACAACAACCAACAAAATGAGAGTCACGATATGCTTAGGACTCAAGATTTTCGGAACTAAAGATAGCATTGTTTATAGTATAAATAAGCATGTAATCCATTTGTTTGCAACACTACGATTGGAAATACAAAATACTAAGCAAAAATTACAGATAAATCGCAGCCAAGAACAATATTTTTTTCGAAGCATTATACTTCGACAGAAAGGAAGAAAGGTGAAATTCATACCTTTGCGTGTTGTTTTCTTTTTGTTTGGTGTCATTCCTACGTTTTGGTTCGATTTGAACCCTAAAAAATCATTTTCGGCCGAGGACCAAGGGGGTTGCTTTCGAAGCTATTTCGCTAGATCTACGCGACCCTGAGACCGTTTTGAAAAAATTACTCGGATATTTTAAAAGAGGAAAGGAAAAGCTTTTAAAAATCAAATTTTTTTCGAGGTTTGCCGCCGATGAACAGCGGCCGGCGAGGCAGCGCGGTGTTCGGTTTCTGGGAACCATGGTCGTGTTCTTCATCCCTCAAGAACATGTGAAGAACATGCAGAGGATTTTAAAAAACTTGTTTTGATACGTTTTGTATCAAATGGGAAAATGAGGGAGTGTTTTCAGAAAAGTGGGCTTTATAGTTGACCCGTTTAGACTGTGACTCGACCCGTGACCGCTTTTGACTCGCGCATTTTTTAGAGAAAAAGGGTAAACTGCCTTTTGGTCCCTCATTTTTTTAAAGGGCCTATTTTGCTCACCAAAATTTGATTTCATCCCAGAAATGCTTCAAAATTGGTCACACTATCTTCTGTTTTTACAATTTAATCCTTTTTCTGGATTTTAATTTTAACTTTCCTTCTTTTATATATATATTATAGTGTTATTATTATTCTTTTTTATATTTTATTTTTATATACATGTGCTATTAGTATTTTATTATTAAATTTATATGTTATATTATATATATATATATATATATATATATGTATTTTATTTTATTTCTTAATATCTCTATATTGTTTTAGTCTACAAGCTAATATTTATATAAATATATGTAAATATATATTTTTCCCCTCGTTTTTGTTTATTTCACTTTTATTTTTTATTTTTATTATTTGATTTATTTTTTTTGTATTTTATTTATTTGCCTTTGTTTTTTTATTTCTCTTATTCTATTTTGTCTTTGTTTGACATTTCAGTTTCACCGTTTTCATGTTAATCATGTTGTTTGCTTTTTGTTCCTATTATATGTTGTTAGTTATTTATTTTTCTCTTCTTTATTTTACTTTCTTTATTTTCAATTTATCATCGTCACCTTTGTTTTTCTAACGCTTTTCCTGATTCTTAAAGGGTACGTTTTCAAAACGGTTAAAGGTAAGTAATTTGGATCGTCATTTTACCTTTTAATCTAAAATTATAATTTTCTTAATTAAAGACAACTGGAAATTATATAGTACTGAAAGGGCAATTCAAGGGTGCTAACCCTTCCTTGACTGTAATCGACTCCCGAATCCGACACATCACTAGTAAGACGCAGATCAGGTAAGAAATAAGGTATCCGGTCAACCAATTTACTTTTAAATAAATGATCGGTGGCGACTCCCATCCATTCATTCAAGTCGAAGCCCAATTTCGGGACCCAACCGAAAGACGGTTCCGACAGCTACTCTGTAAAAGTATAATTTAATCTTTATTAATCCATGTGTCAGGGAAGGATGAGTGCTCTTAATTCAATGCATGGCATTATTCAACCAGAAAATACTGCAAGAACTGAAGAAGCCAATTCAACAAGTGAGTGATCACTGAGTATCCTTAATGAACATTGCATTGGTGTTTATCTTCTCGCTTTCAATCAGATCAGTCAATTCATTATAAGTGCATGTTGTGGTAGTTTTCTAACATGTTTTCGTGATACAGTTGTTCCGACGATATCATAGTAAACTATCGTAAAGACTGATAAAGGGGGAAGTAAAGCATAATTAGTGGCACTAATTAGTCTTTTGATGGTAAAGGAAATATTAAAATATAGAACTTATTTGTTGCCCGTTGGCAGATGATGCAACCAGTGGTGCTACTCCAAGAAAGAAGTTCGTCCACCATGTAATAGACTTTGTAGTTTACTTTGTACTCAAATTTTTGGAATGTATATTTTTCTTTGCCCCGGACTTGCAAGATTTTTGGAAGCACAAGATTTAACCCCACAAGTAGGGAACCAGTCTAATCACCAGCTGACAGATTCAAGGTCTCAAGGAAACAGTACTTTGATTGAAGCAAAAGAGGACTCGCTCCATCGATGTTGGCAGAGGCTACTAAATTTAGAAGCCTTGATAACTGAGCTTTGTAACAGAACCGCAAAACTTCCTCCTGAAAAAGAATACATGATTCTTGAGTCATTAAGTCGTATTAAATCAATTGAACAAGATTTACAGAGAGCAAAGAAAAGTAAGAATTCTTTCTACAGTAAGTCCTAGTGGCAACCAGTTTTTGTTTGTTCTGGTCACTAATAATGGACTTGATTTTGTAGGCATTGCTTGCAACTGCATCAAAGCAAGCGGAGCTTGCTGAGTCTATGGAACATTTAAAACACAACAGCTTAGCTCTATGTTTCTATTTTCTCAAGAGGAGAAAATATAAAACTGGCAATTAGGGAGATAAGAATGTGTTTGAACTGTTACTTTGGAAACTAAATTGGTGACAGTAGTCTGTTCCGATTGCTTCCCCAAGGCCTTGCTTGGTATGAAGGATGGAATCTAGGACGATGAATTTGCTTGTTTTCCCGATTGTGCAATCTCCATTTTCGAATCGACAATGCTATAATTGCAAGATATGCAAATCTCTGGCGTGGTTTTGAGCAGCAGCAGGTTGTCAAACTCTTTTACATTAGTTTTACTCTAATCCTTTAATTCTGAGTAACTCTATGTCATGTCTACTTTTGTTTCAAATTGGCAGTCAAGGTGACACAACAGAGTTTTGAAGTTAGTCCATGGAAATAAAATCTTTCTGACAACCACAACAAGTAGTTACAGAGACAGTTGTGCATATGGTTTTCAAGTTTCTGTACATTGTATGATCCCCCACCCCACCCCCCACATTTTTTTACCCAGTTGTTTTCTCAAGCTGTTATAAAGAATAATATTGCAACTAGAACTATTAATTAGACAAGCCATCTTGAAAGACATGGCATAATTCTTAGAACATGATCCTGAGAAATAAAGAAAAAACTCTTTCACAATTAACAGTAAGCAAATATTTTATAAGTTTGATAGGTGACTAATGACAGATCAAATTGAATACGATTAAGTTCTCACACATTCCCAGAGTTCATCCGCATAAGCTTAAAATTATTAATTCTGAAGCAAATGGTTTAACAAAAGACAGATTAATGCACCAGAAAAAAAGTCTATAAACAATTCATTTCTATGTTACTTCGTAGTAATGACCACCAACAGGTAAAAACAAGTCATGATAACCGGAAAAAAAAGTCGTGCAGCTTTGAAATTTCGCAGAAGTTAGACAGATTGAAACCTTGGAATGCAGCCAGGTTGAGGTCATTTGATAACCAAAAGCGTGCAGCAGTTAGGAGCAAAAATGTGGTAAATTAGTTTTTACCTTGGCTCAAAATGGAGATAGACAGAGTATGCTGTGATGGACTGAGTTGGTTAAGAAAATTGATAAAAATGCATTTTCCGGGAGTCGAACCCGGGTCTATTGCTTGAAGGCAATAATAACCGTTGTTCTACAAACGCTTTGACGAACTTTGTCCGAACTGTTCTCTTATAATCAATTTACATATCTTCGAAGTTGCGAAAACAATGCTACTGAAATCCTCATTTAATTTTAGTCCCTCATATTTTTATCAATATAATTGAGTTTTTAATATTCTTTTTACTTTTTATGAAAATAATTTTTAAATTTTGTGATGTTGCTCTCACAAGATTCGCAATCATCATTTTCAATAATACTATTTTTAATATTTGAAAATAAATCCTTCTCTTAAAAATATAATTTTATCTTACACCTTTTTCCATAAATTAATTAAATTTAAACTTTATATTTTCAAGATAAATAAAAAAATTTATCTCACATTTAAATTATTTTGTACAAATCTGATTATCAAATTATTATATACATTATTTTTACAATATAGAAATGATTTCATTGACTTGGTGACCATCCTCACCCCTATAGCCATCATCCTCAAAATAAAAAACTAGTATCAATCTGAATAGAGTAACACGTTTTGAATAACACAAAAAATTAACATACAATTTAATATAATAATATACAAAATATCAAATTTTAATACAAAGATATTATACCTTCGTACTTAAATACATGATAATCTCGTACTTAATATCTTAAAAAAAATCAACACATAAATGTTAAATTATTAATAAATTATTTTTTAAAAAATAAAATTTTAATATATTATACTTTCACGTTGTTCGTGAGCTTTTTGAGTCGAGTATCAAGTATATGATTTCGGCTCGTTAAGAACTCGAGTCAAGTCTATTTGAGTCAAGTATTTATCAAGTTTTAATCGAGTTGATTTCAAATAACTCACGATCTGTCTCGTCTCATTTACGGTATAATGGAATTGGTGGTGAAGTTTTGAGAACGGATTCCAGTGTGTATGATCTCTCCTCGATACTCCATTACTTTTAATAGAAGCTTACTGAGTTTTTTGAGGGGGTGAAAGGGGTTAAACAAGTTGACCCTTTGTCTTTGTACTTGTGTGTTTCGGACATGAACACTCTCTCAAGGTTGTCAGATCTTATAGTGTGGAAGGGTATTTTTTACCTTCATCCTAAATACAAGAAAATCATGTATACTCATCTTTGTTTTACGAATGATTTACTCATTTTTGCCAAATGAACTCTGGATTCAATATTGGGAGTTAAATATGTTTTGTATAGATTTTATACAATGTCGAGATTGAATATCAACGATGTCAAGTGCGAGGCGTTTGCATCGAGGGTTTCGGATGTTGAATTGAACAGAATCAAGGAGAGCTTGGGATTTAAGGTGGGTGCTCTACCAGTTAGATGCCTCGGTGTCCCACTGATGACGTGAAAGCTCTCGGTGTGTGACTACCAAGCTTTACTCCATTGTATCAAGAGGAAAATGAGTCATTGGATGAACAGGAAGTTGATTTACGTTGGGAGATTGCAGTTGATTTAGTCGGTTCTTTTTAGCGTCACAAATTTCTGGGGCAGGCAGCTCCTTATTCCTAAAGGGGTTGTTTATCGTATTGAGCAGATTTTCTTGAGGTTATTTTGGATGGGAGAGACGTCTCGGCTATCGACATTAGAGTTGGTTGGGAACAGATTTGCTCACTAAAATCTGAGGATGGGTTTGATTTGAAGGGTCTATCCTGTTAGAACCGTGCATGTTTTATTCTTTTGTTGAGAAAACAATTGGCTTATGAAGGCTCTTTGTGGGTAGCGTGGCTCCCACAAGGCAATATGGGTCGTGGGATCGAGTCTTACGGAAGATATTTTATAATTCGGAGATCTCTTACGGAAGCTGTTCTCAACCTGACGTGGGTGAGATCGCATGTTACCAAAGGTAGATATATGGAGTTTTGAACCGAGGGTGGCATTAGTTGGATTTTAAGGAGAAAGTTTTTGATGACGCAGACACCTTTGTTTGCAGCGGTTGATGATTTGGACCAACTCCATGCTCGTAGGATTTGGCATGAGACGAGGGGGAGGAAAAAGAAGGTGGCCTAGCATGAGCTGATGCTAACCCTTTTCTCTTTGTTTTGCAGGGATGTTAAAAGCATTTGAAGCTCCTGGTTTATCAAAAGATCTCTCTTGAAGCAGTACGATCGTAACATAATCTAATTTTCACCGAACGCAACAGTTGTTGTGGTCCGTAGGTTTCATTTTATTTAAAATAATTGTTGGCATTCAAGCTTTTAATGCAGAGTATCCACAGGCAATATCTTGATTTCTATTATCGAATGAAGGTTTTGGGCTTACGACCCAATAAGTTCACTTACCCTTTTCTCCTGTGCTAATCTAATCTTTTAGAGCTGAGCCATTGGCAGTTAACTCATTCGTCGATATTTAAACTTGGTTTCTGGAAGCTGAAATCCGTGGACAAGCAATGGTGAAAGCAAAAGGCTCTTCAAGTCTGGTTTCCCGCCCAATCATCATTCCTTGGGAAACTCATTTCCAGCAATCTTTTACAGAGAAGTTGTTATCCCTGTTACAAAAATGCACTTCCACGAAGCTCTTACGACAAATCCACACCCAAATGCTCATCAATGCCATTCAAAAGCCCAACTTCCTTCTTTCCAAAGTCATTGACCTCAAGAACTTCACCTACGCTTCTCTTCTCTTCTCCCAAATCCCGCAACCCAACGATTACGCTTTCAATGTCATGATCCGTGGCCTTACCATCACATGGAAAAACTACTCTGCAACTCTTCATTTCTATTATCAAATGAAGTTTTTGGCCTTACGACCCAATAAGTTCACTTACCCTTTTCTGTTTATCTCCTGTGCTATTCTTTTAGAGCTGAGCCATGGGCAGTTAGCTCATTCGTCCATATTTAAACTTGGATTGGACATTGATCCTCATACTACTCACTCTTTGATAACAATGTACGCTAGATGCGGCGAATTGGGTGATGCTCGTAAGGTTTTCGATGAAATAACTGAAAGAGACTTGGTGTCATGGAACTCAATGATTTCGGGGTATTCTAAAATGGGGCACGCGCGAGATGCGGTCGGGTTATTTGTGAAGATGAGAGAGGACGGGTTTATAGCTGATGAGATGACATTAGTCAGCGTTTTGGGGGCTTGCGGGGACTTGGGGGATTTAAGTCTAGGGATGTGGGTGGAGGGGTTTGTTATGAAACAGAAGATGAAATTTAATTCATATATTGGGTCTGCTTTGATTGATATGCACGGCAAGTGTGGGGATTTGGCGTCGGCTAGGAGGATCTTTGATGCAATGCTGCAGAAAGATGCCGTCACCTGGAATGCCATGATCACCGGATAAGTAAATTTTATTCAGTGCAATTGGTTTGTCTCTAGTTTCTGTTAAGTGCCATAGCATAAGAAATTTTCATTTA